TAAGACAGAACAAGCTAGGCTAGGTAAAGGGGATGAGAAACAAAAACTGTAATCATAGTCATCCTGCATTTGCCACAATGCAAGGATCCAAAATAATAGCAAGGATACAAACCATCCAATGCTATAAAGTCATCAAATCTGACAAAATCTCAAAAGGCAAAGTCATAAAAAGACTAACAATAAACTTAGTCATAAGCAAAGGGAGATGATCAGTCATCAAGCCTCATCATCCTCATCGACCTCGGGCCATCAGGTCTTCAACGCCGCTAAGCCTCTTCGCTTCCTCGTCATCGGAAACATCGATGTCATCCTCATCAAGTCCGCCGAGGCAATAACGCGAGGTCGTAGTCTTGGCACGATGACGAACCGCCGAGATGACTTTTTCGTGACATGTCTCCGATAAAGCCGAGGANGCCATCGGTTTGAGCACCAAGGCTGCCGTCGGCTCCGCACCTTGGGGCTTCGCTGCTTTCGGTCTGGTGCTTCGCTCCTCTGACGTCGTCATATCAACGATTCTCGATGTCTTCAACATGGGCTCCTCCATACGAAGCGAAGACGTCTTCGGCATTGGCTCCTCCGCACGGGGTGAAGACGTCCTCGGCATCCCGNCATGNAGCNGAGACGTCTCCGGCTCCTCACCACGGAAGGAAGACGTCGTCGGGTCTGGTTNGTGGCGAGGGGGAAGCATCGAGACCTCGGCGCCTCGGGTGAGAGACATCGGCTCTCCGGACCAGTCCGCCGGAGCCGTCGGGTCACCGGAGTCCCCGAGTTAGACCTCCTTGACCGAACCCATTGCTTACTTCCTCCGGAAATCATTTCTCATTGCCAAAGACGTTATTAAAGTCGGCACGGAGTCTTAAAACCTCCATAGGAAACACGAAGTCTTAAAACCTTCGAAAAAAAAAAAAAATCATTTTTTTGCAGTAATGCAGTAGCTTCAGCAAACGAAGCGTGAAGTCTGAAAATCTTCATAAAAAGAAAAAGGAGTCTTAAAACCTCCAAACGC